ATTTCCATCATCTGAAGTTTGCATCAGCCCGTTTATTTTTGTTACTTCTGCTTTTAGATGCGCAGAAATAATTAAAAAACATTTAGGAGTATCCACGATTTGCTAAATTGTATCTCTTATCAGATAATACCTTCTTCAGCGTTCTGCTGGGTGGATGCTCCAACAAAAGACAGGATCTGTGGTGGGGCAGCCGACGTGTTCCGAGCGAGGTCGGTGTCCTTGCTGACTGCGAGGATGCAGCAGGGAATCCACACATGGCTCTGGGTGCTCATCCTGGCTGCCCCACAGCTCGGGCTGGGGAGGAACTTCACACACTCCCAAGGGATCAGGACCTGGGGCTCCCAGGTCACTGGGAAGCACAGCCATTGAAACGGGAATCATTCACGAGTTTTGTAAGAGTGTATTTGGAGTCAGGAGCAAAGATCTGAAACACCATTTCTCTTACAGAGACATAGCTATGGTAAATAAAAATCCCAATAATAACTGTTTCCTAAGAAGATATTAAAGCCTTGGGTTCTTTGTTGTGTACTAAAAATATTTTTTTTCAAAACAAGTATAAATAAAGGAATAAAAATCTACTATATATATTATAGAATTTAAATGCTGGCAGTATTCTGTTGTTATATGTAGCAAACAAACCAGAGTTTGTTAATTTACAGTTTTCATAAAGTATTAGTATTTTTGAGTGACTGTGAAGACTTAAAAATGTTGTTTTAATTTCTCAGGTGTAAGATCTGAAAACCTGATGCCTTTTCTTTTTTTCCCCGTAGGATTTTGCACAGAGCTCAGGCCAAATGGATAATCAGTTATCTCAGCAGAGGGGTACGTTCAATGCAGTGTAACAGAGTAGCAGTTGGTTAACAAAATGTGTAGATATTATATTTCACTGTGATTTAAATTTTTTGAGTCTGCATCACGATAAAAGAAATGCAGTAACTTGCAGCATGATTTTACAGCTTGGAGAGAGGCTCCCTCACATCCTGACATGTCTTCCAGTCCTCTGCTCGTCGTATCAGGGATTCAGACTGTTAATCTTTATTAAATGCTGTGTGGTATCATGTCTTAAAATGTGATACTGTACCTGCACATATTTAATTAGCTGTCACAAAGGCTGCCTTCAAAAGTTTTAGGTTGCAGAAGCCATGCAGCAATGCCAGTACACCTGGGGAGCCAAAAATCTGTAAAATACTGTCTTGTAATTGTTATTTGACGTTCATCAGTTTGCAGAAGAGGTGCGATTTTTTTTTTCCCCTCCATTATTAAGGTTTTATTTAAAATGCATTTAACCTCTTTAGGCTAAATTTGAAATATTCTCAGCTGAGATGGCTGTTACTTGCGAAACACATCTAAAATTCAAGTGCTGATGGGCGTCTGTTCTTGAGTTAGCTGTATTTCGCATAAAGAACATCGCTCGGACAATCATTTCTCCCTCATAGCAAACAAAAATCCACCACCATTTTGCCCAACATTTGGCAAGAGATGAGCAGTTCTAGGTCTAAAACATAAGCTTTGTGTTTAAAAATAAAATATAACACATGAAATTAATGTAACTTTATGGAGATTTTTACTGTCAACATTATACCTCTCAGTCTGAAGCAGCCTCGTGCAGTGTCTGCAGCACAAACTTTCCAGGTTTGTGTTTGCATGAGAATCTGCTCAAGAAACATCTAAAACCCAAATGGAAAACTGCTTTTTATTTTCACTATTCAAACTGGATGAGCTTTTAAAGAAAGATGACTATGTGGTGACATGTGAGTGTGGTTTCTAAACATTCCCCAGTTGCAAAAAAGTTGTCTCAGTAATAGTATAAGCAGGATTATTTTTATCCATTATATCACTTGAATGTGAAGGATAGTGTCCCCAAAACACAAATGGGAATAGTAACACTGGGAATACAACCTGAAAGCACAAACTTCATTGTTGGGTGCTGTGTGGAGGGTCGGACCCTCAAACATGTGCCCACATGTGCAGTCCTGTTCACTCGTAGGAGTGAAAGCTGCATTTGTACTTGTGCTGTGAGCTCTGGGAGTCAGGGAGCACAACTCCTCCGCAGCCCTCCGTGGAAAAAAAGCTGCTGAGCAGAAAACACCGTTGAGGCTGCCCAGAGTTGAACGAGGCTGAGCTGGTCCCTGGTGGGTCCAAGAACATAAAGTGTGTAAAGCTGTATAATGTTCCACTGCGCAAAGCAGAGCCTGATCCAAAAGCTTACAAATGGAAGCCTTTGCTCACCAGAGCCTCTGCCCCCATTCTTAAAGCCAGCCCTCGATGTCCCAAGCTCCACAGAAGTGTCACCCCGTGGGCTAAGATTTTGGAAGGGGGAGGGGAGTAAAAGTATCTCAAATTGGCTGCAAGTTCGTTATTCTTGTTTTATTGCCATCTTATCTTAAGAGGGAATAACGTGGTAATTTTATGTTCTGTCTTCAACAGAAAAATTTTTCAGTTCTCAAGATTATCTTGAGCTGTCCAACAGATTCCCGCGGCAGTCCTGGGAAGAAGCTCGACAGTTCTTCTTGAAAAAATAAGTGTCGTATTTGGATTTTGAATCTCTAACATCGTCACACTGACCAGGTCCTGCTGACTACCTTCTTTAAAAGGCTGTTCTGAAACGGTTTTGATACTCTAAATACTTACTCTGTAGATATATAATTTGCACTATTTATATCATAACTACTGTAGATACTTCCAAGTTCTGTTTTGTAATTTTGATAATTTGAGTTTATTTCATTCACGTATCCGATGTCATGATTTGGGTGTTTTCTACCCTGTGATGTGGTGGGACTTGCACTGCAGAACTGCTGAAATAAGGTTGCAAATAGAGAAGATATGTTCTATATATCTTGTAATAAAATAACTTATTCTGTCTGGTGTGACTTCTGTGTTACAAATGTTGGTGTGTTTGAATTACTATAAGCAACACAGGGCTTGGAGATAGGAAAGAAAAAGCCCCTTAAGCTGTCTTTCTCTTTAATCAAAAGTCAATCAGAATCTAATCAAAAGAATTCGTTAGATTTGGCTCTGGGGAAAGTTTGCTTATAATTTTCTGGTAATTTGGGATAAGTCACGTAATACGGATTTTTTTAAACCATGTGCGTTTTTAACGTTTCGGTAAGACTTTAATAACGCTGGTTTAACCTAGGGATGTTCTGTGAGCGGGGAAGGTTCCGCGGAGCAAAACCCAGCGGCGCACTGGGGCCGGGCGGGATTCGCTTCCGCGGGAGGGGGCGGGAGGCGCTGCGGGCCCCGCGCTGCGGCGGGGACGGGGCCGATCCCCATCCCGGGCGGCCCGCGGGCACCAGGACAGGCAGCGGGACCGGGACAGGCAGCGGAACAGTCCTCTCTTGGCAGCCCCGCGCCGCCCCTGCGGCGGCCGCACGGCCCAGTCCGGCCCGGCCCGCAGCCGGGTCCCGCCCGCGCCGCCTGAGGGGAGGCCGCGCGCCGCCTGAGGCGATGCTGCGGCCCCGCTGCGGCCCAGCCCCGGGAGAACGCGAGGAGCCCCAGCGCGACCAGGATGGAGCCAGGTAATGGCGGGGGCCCCGCGGCGGGGCTGGGAGAGCGGCAGACCCCTCCACACTTGTGCCCGGCCGGGGCACAGCCCACCCCGGCGGTGCCGAGCGGCCCCGGGAGAGGCGGCCCCGACGGCGGCTCGCCCGGGGGGCCCGGTCCCCGCACAGCCGCCCCGCAGCCCCTCGGGGTGGTGCAGCCGCTCCGGCGCCGCGCTGCCCATCCCCTGCAGCCCGGAGGGCTCGGTCAGGGCCCAGCTCTCCCCGGGTGCCCGGGGAAGGGTAAGGGGGGTGCAGCGTGCTGTGGCTGGAGCTTTCCGGGCCTGCGGTCCCGCTGGGAGCCGGTCCGGAGCGGTCCCGCCCGGGTAACGGGGAGGAAGCGGGAACGGCCCCGCCGCGCTCCCAGGTGATGCCAGAGGCAGATAAGGAGCCGCCGCCTGAGTATGGACGGGGGGATGGATACGCTCGAGGGGTCAGGTCGCCTCGCCCCGCCGCCCCGGGGAAGCCCCCGCCACGCCCGGGGAGGAGGCGAGGCGGCCCCGCAGCGCGGCAGGTGCGGGCACGACCCGGCCGAGCCCGGGGGCTGCTCCGAAAGGGAAACCTGCGCTCCGCCTCCCCGGCTATAAATAAGCGGCCCCGGTTCTGAAAGCCGATTAACGCGGTGCGGGGAGGCCGTACGGAAAAAGCCGGGGCTGTGCCCGTCCCGACCCGGTCCGCGCCCGCCCCTCTGCCGCCCTTCCGCGCCTTTTTGGTTTTGTTTTGGGTTTTTTTTCGTTTCAGTCCTTTCCTTTCCTTTTTTCTCTTTTTTTTTTTTTTTATTAAGTCCAAAATACTTAATTCCACTATTCAACCGCTGACTCTGACAATAAATAACAATAACTTACTTTTGATCGTTAAAGGCGCAAACAATCCGTCCTCCGTCCATTGATAACTTATTATTAGTACTGGTTTTCCCGTTTAAAAGTCTCGTTTCCGTGTCCCGTTTTTCCAGCGATCGTGCGGGGCCGGGCGCCGCGGCCCGGGAGAGGCATCGGCGTGAGATGAGGCTGGACGGCGCGGAGGGACGGCCAGGCCGGCTCCGCGGCCGCACGCTGAGGGAGTCTCTCCCCCTTTTGTAGTTTCTTTTTTCCTTTTCCCTTCCAAAAAGGAAAGAATAGCCGTCTCCGGCGCAAGCGGTGGGCGAGGCGGCCTGTCACCGTGCCGGGCTCCAGCAGGGAAATCCACGTTTCTTTGGGAAAAAAGAAACATCGAAATCCGCAGGGAAAAAACCCAAAACAACGAAATAACCAGGGCGGGGACACTCTCTCCGGTCTGGTGAAGGCAGCGAGGATCCCGGTGCTTTTTTGGCCGTCAGTAACATATTTTTTGTTTGTTTTTAAATAAGAATAATTAAAAAACAAAGGCGTTTGTCCGGCGCTCTGGGAGCGGCCCGGGGCCGGGTGTCTCATGCAGGGAGCGCAGGCATGCGGAGGTCCCGCGGCGGCGGGCGGCCGGGCCGCCTCACGTCTCGGCCGGGCTGGGCACCATGCTGTTGGGGGTGTCGGGGAGCTGGGAGGACAGCGAGGTCACGTCGCTGCCGGAGGAGGTGCCCAAGGAGCCGGACTCGGAGAAGGAGACCTGGGGGAGCAGCGGCGGTGAGGGCCCGGCGCGGTCGCCCCCTGCCCCGGCCCCCTCCCGCAGCGCCCGGGCCCGGCGGGCCGGGGTCCGCCCGCCCCCCGCGGCCCGACGGGCGGCCCGGCGCGGCTCACCAGCTGCTGGAAGGCGGCGGGCTGCTCCAGGTCGCTCTGCAGGGCGAACTCGCTGAGCGCCTTCCAGGGCGGCTGGTAGGTCTGGACCTCCACGGCGCTGCCCTGCACGGCGCTCTCGTGGCGGATGGGGCTGCCGGCCACCAGCGGCGTCCCGGTGAGGCCCTGCAGGCTCTGCGGGCACACGGGGATTCAGCGCGACTGCCGCCCGAGCTCTCTGGCCCCGGACCCCCACCCCCAATTCCCTTCCCCGGCGGGGCGGGTGGGCGCTCACCGTCTTGTCGCTGTGCTGCTGCTGCTGGAGCTGCTTCATGAGGATGGACTTTTTCTTGTCCTTGCAGCGCTTGTTCTGGAACCAGACGCGGATGACGCGGGGACTGAGCCCTGTCATTTCCACGAGCTGCTCCTTCATCAGGGCGTCGGGGCGCGGGTTGGCGGCGTAGCAGGTCCGCAGCGTGTGCAGCTGCTTCTCGTTCAGCACCGTCCGCACGCGGGTGGTCTTCTCCGCCGCCTTGTGCGCCGGCGGCCGCGGGACGGGCGGCCGCCCGGGCACCGGCTCTGCGGCGGGCGGGGAGGACGCGCACCGTCAGCGCCGCCGCCCGCCCGGCCCCTGCAGCCCCCCGGACACCTCCCCCGCCCCGCCGCCCGCCCCGACGGGGAGCCGGTACCTGCGAGGTGCGCGGCGGCGGCCGGAGGCAGCGCGGGGCTGCGCGGCCCTCGGGCGGCGGAGCCGTCGGGGGGCGGCCCGTGGTCGGCGCGGCAGAGCAGGTCCCGCTCCCGCAGGCAGAACTGGTCGCCGGGCAGGAGCTGGCGGCCGCAGGCGGCGCAGCGGAAGCACTCCAGGTGGTAGACGTGGTCGCGGGCGCGCATCACCAGGTCGCTGCTGCTGAAGGCCGCCCGGCACTGGGCGCACTTGATGCCGAAGAGCCTGCGGGGATGCGATGCGCCGTCAGGGCGACTCCGGGCGGCGCCGCGGGGGCGGGCAGCGGCCGAGAGTCAGGTTTTCGTTGGGGGAAATTCGGGGGTTTTAAGGGGCTTTTGTGCTTTTTCGGGTTCGGGTTGGGGTTTTTTGCCCTTTCTTTTTTTTTTTCCCCCTAACGAGCGTTGGCGCATTCGGGGTCACCTGCTGTAATCCCGCTTGCAGTAGGCCTTGCCGTCGCGCAGGAAGCATGTGCAGGTCTCGTCCAGAGGCTGCCCGCACTCGGCGCACTTGAGGCAGGCGACGTGCCACTCCAGGTCCGGCGACACCCGCAGCAGGAAGGGGTCCTGGATTCGGCCCCCGCAACCGGCGCACAGGGCCAGCCCCGGCCGCCCTGCCGGGAGCGAGTGGGGCACGGTCAGGGCCGGCCGTGTGCCAGAGCAGACGCCAGCAATTAGGGAAAGGCACTTGAGTTTCTTTAAATCTTTTTCCTTTTTTCTTATTCTGTTTTGTTTTGGTTTTTTTTTCCAAAATAGGAAGAAAAAGAAATAAAAACAGGAACGTGGACAGAAAGGATGGAAACACGGAAAGAGATAAATGAATACAGCCAAAATAATAATAATAATACTTTAAAAAGACAGAAATTTGATGGAGGGAAATAAAGGCAGAAAGACACAGACGTAAAAGTAGAATTTCGGCAAAGGAAAATAAAAACAGAAACACAGAAACGATAAAATAAAGGCTGAGGAAAAATTGAAAGAAAGAAGGAAAGAAGGAAAGAAAATAAAACGGAATGATAGAAAGGAACAAAACCAGCTAAACCCCAGATGGTTAAAACGGGAACGTGGTCAAATGAAAACAGTAAGAGACAAGAAATCAAAGAGACAGAAAGAAATAAAACCAAACAAAACCAGAAGAACAGAAAGAGAAAGAAAGAAACAAAAACGGAAAGAGAAGTATTAATAACAAAAAAAGACAAACTGAAACACGAAAGAGAGAAAGAAAGAAAAACGGTAATACAGGCAGTGAGAGACAGAAGAAAAGAAAGAAAAAGGAGAGGGAAGCAGAGAAAGAAATTGAAAGAGCCGAAAGCAATGAGCTCAGCAGCGCGGACAGCTGAAAGGACAGGCATTCGGTAAGAAACGGGGCCAGAGGGGCCGGGGAGCGCTGGGCATGAACGGGAATAGCGGCACCGGAGTTGCCCCGGGCCGAGCCCGCAGCCCTTCCCGGAGCTGTCAGCGCGCCCGCGGTCCGGCGGCCGCCAGCCCACCCGACGGCAGCGGCGGCGCGGGGCTCGACCGCAGCGTCCCGCACCGCCCGCCCCGGCCCCGCGCTGCGCCGCGCGCACTTACTCTTGGAGGGCTCCCCCATGGCGCCCGGGAGCGGCCGCGGGAGGAGGATGTCCACCATGCGGGCGGCCCCCTGCGCACCGGCAGCGATGCGGGATGCGGCGCCGCCGCTCCACCACTACCCGCGCGGCGCGGGGCGGGGGCCGCGCCCGCCCCCCCGGGCCCGCCCCGCCGGGCCGGCCGTGATGTCAGCGCGCAGCGGCCGCGGGCGGGGGGCGGCGCTGACCTCACCGCGCGGCCCCCGGAGGCGATTGGCGGCCGCGGGAGCGCCCGAGGATTGGCGGCGCCGAACAATGGGCGCGGAGCGGGGCGCGCTCCCCGCGGGACCGGCCCGGACGGGGCGGGCGGGACCGAGCGCCGCGGGACGGGCTCCTCCGCGCCCCGCGCCCGCCGCACCCTCCGACCGCCCGGCGCGGCGCGACCCGGCCCCGTGCGCGGAGGGGACGGCGGCATCGGCGGCCGAGGAGATGGAGATTCATTGTAGCTTTTTTCCCCCCTTCTGTTTTCCCTGTTATTCTTCTTGACTTTTAGTTCGCTTTTTATTTGCTGCTTTTATTTCCCTTTTCCTCTTCCTTCCCCTCTCTTTTGCCTTTTATTTCGTTGTCCCTTTTCCCCCCGTATCGGCGTGCCGCAGGCAGGTGCCCGCGGGCGGGCGCGGCGGGACATCCCGCGGCAGACGGGAAGGGGCTCAAGGCTGCGCGCCCGCGGAGCGGCTCCCCGCTGGGGGCCGTGTGCGGCAGGACCGCCTCGACGGACCCGAACGGGACCGATGGCATCGTCGGGGCCACCGTTCCGGGCAGGAGCCCCGTGATGAGTTGAGATTAGCAGAAAAAAATTAGTATTTTACTGCATTTTCATGCACCTGATCCCGTGCTGTTCCTGCAGCTTAACCTCTCCTGTTGCTTTTTTATTCCTTTTTTCCTTTCTCTTTCCCCCCAGTCTCCATGGGCTTCCTGTGCATTAGCAGGAAAATAGGGAGAGCACTTCAGTGGCCTTTGACTCGGTTTTAAATTGCCGAAGACTTTGCAGCACAGCAGCACGCGTAGCTCAAAAGGTCCAGGAAAGCTTATACATGCTGGAATTGAGATTGCTGCTGTCTTGGGGCTTCAGCCTCGTCCTTGTACTGCACACAATCACCTTTTTAATTTTACACACGGTATTTGACAGGCCTAGACCAACCTGTATGGCTTGGGAAGGACATGGTGATTTTAAATGTTGGCTCGGGAAGGGCAGGCTGGGCTCATTTTTCTGGGAGGAGGGAGGTAGGGTAGGTTTTCCGGCTGAAGCGCTTGTAGTCAGGCGCCCTGTTAGGTGTGGAACCCTAGAAGCTGAGGAGGGGGAGAGGACGATTTTGATAACTGGTGTTGGACTATTTGACCTGTTCTCCCCAGCCTGACTCCAGCCCCTGCTACCCCTTGAGGACCCCAAAAGTTGAAAGCAAACCTTTAAGTTTGTGCAACAGCTGAGGGAGGAAGGAGGGTGGTATTTGGGGTACCCACTTCAGCAGTGTCATCACGGGATTTTGGCATCCCTGCATGTGCAGAGGTGCAGTGTGGCCACGACATCCTCAGGGCAGGGCAGGTCCACGTGTCCCTGCCTGTGTGGTAGTGGCAGGGTGGCCATGGTGCCTGTCCGGGGTTGTGATGTGACTGCTGCCTGCCTTGCCAGTGGCTGAGCTGGGCTGGGAGGTGAGCGGTGTGAAGAAAATTAGAAAAGTTTGACTGGCTCTTCAAACTGGGGTGACCCCGTGGGATGGGTGATGGGAACCTCCACAGCACTGCCATGGCTGTGGGGCAGCACAGTTTGTCCCGTCCATGCCTGGACACCTGGCAGAAGAGAGGGTACAGAAGGGTGACTTCAGCCTGAGCTGGAATCCACAGAGTCCTGAGTGAGTCAGTATGTGCATGTGTTAACAATAAAATGCAAAAATAAAATGTCAGAGTGATAGGAGAATGAGGCACGTCTAAGAATACAGCAGCTTGGCAGGGATGCTCCATGTTGCATCACCCTTTTCCCACTCGAGGGCAGGATCTTCTCTGCTCTCCCAAACCTCCCACCAACTTAGGAAAAAGAAAGGTTACAGCTGAGCCAGCCAAATGTTTCCAAACTGGCACAAAGCTGTGCTGCAGGCACACCTGCAGCAGTAGTACAGAGTAGTGTCAGTACAGAGCAATGTGCCCTGCACACCAGGCAGGTACGTTTGGACTGGACTCACTTCAGGGTCAGGCAGGCAGGAACAGGGTAGGCAGTGCAGCACAGGCACTTTAGTAGAAAATCCGAAAAAAAATTACCTGCCAGGGAAACTCTGAAGCTCCTCTATGTGATGAACAAAAATCTTTAAAATGACTATAGGTACAAGAGGCGTTGAAGCAGCTCGATACCACCATGTTTTACGAACAAGTTAATTGTTGGTTCATTTGAGGGGGGGTAAGGGAAAGCACATCATAAAATCATAGAATAAATCAGGCCAGGAGGGACCTCTGGAAAATTGCTTTCAGGTCACTTGGAACTGCTGGAAGCATTTGCTAGTCAAAGCCAAACGCAATCTCTCCTGCCACGCTGATTGCTCCGTGCTCTCCTCCACCCAGTGTTCAGCGTTCCCGATGGCTTTTGGGGCAATTCCGCTTGGCTTTGGTGCAAGAACTGGCAGGGGCTGCCTGGCCGGGGGTGAGGCCGGCTAAGGGCACTTCCCGCTCTCCACAAGGCAGCTCTGCTTTATGCTCCCAAAGAGAAATGCAAGTTCCTCTAGGAAGGGGAAACGGTAACAATTTTTTTGTTTGCAGCAGATTGCAAAGGCAGTAAATGCTGATTCTTTCAGAGCCAGCCATGGATTAAGTCCATTATAAAATTAAAACAGATGGAACGCAATTTCACTTACATTACAAAAAAGGACAGGAACCATCTGCAATAAGATTTAGCATTGCAAAGCTATTGTTATCATGTTACCATTAAAACCTTTGATGAAGGGTTTTCTTTCTTTCATAAACTTGTTCACATGAAACAAATGTTTTATTTATCCATCTTCCTAAGATAATCATATTTTATTTAAAAAGATGACATCTCTCAAAAAAACCAGCTCTTAGTTCTAATAGAATATGGAAAAACAAAGAAATGTTGTAAAACTCCAACGTTGAACCACTGGGGGCTTTGATGGGGTGGATGCAGCACAAGGAGAATTCCCTATCCATTTTTCCTTGAAAAAACATTTCCTTGTGTTTGGGCACAATGTCTGATACTGAAAATAGATAATTAATGAGATAATGGGATACTGCATGTCACCTCCTGTCCAATGGGATTATCTGATGGCTAATTATGGACAGATTGTGATTAATGTGATTATGGATTGGATATTAATCTGATTCTGGATTGATCTAGTTATGTTTTAGTCTGCTCCAAATGGTTAATTGGATCTGAGATAATAGAAATGCAGCTTGCACCAGATTTTGCCACATCAGTTGATGAAGTATCTTTTGATCTGGGTGGGTTGCGAACAATAAATTATTTACAGCTGTTGAGAAAATGACTCTTCCTTAGAATGTAGTCATTCATTTTATTTTCAAGAGCCTTTGAAAACAAAATCAATATCCTTTCTAAAAGGAGATGTTGAGAAAGGCACGTACATAACTCACAAACAAATGTGACGAAATTAAACAGTGGTTAACCCGGTGGCCTAATGTCTGGTGATGCATTTGAATTGCTATGTGGAGCTTTGGGCTCAATTCTTCTGAGACCAGCAGGGGTTGGGAGCATTGCAGGGGAACAGGGCCCAGCGCTGGGGAAAGTGGTGTTGCACAAGAGCTACTGCCAGCCCTGCTAGTGATTAAGAATCAGCCATGGTAACATGGCAAAGGGAGCCCTTGCCATTTTTTCCCCTCCAGATAAGAAGGGTTCTGAAAGTTCATGGGTGCAGAAAGGACTCATTGGCCCATTTCCTCTGGCCTCCTTCACATCAGACCATGCAATTGGACCCAGTATTATTATTATTATTATTTTTTCCCTCACAGTGAGCCTGTTAATTTATGGTTTACCTCAGTCATGTCTCCCAGAGATGCATCTGGTCTTGATGTCGCCTGCCAGTGCGGGAGAGACTGCTCTGCTCCCCTCATTCCTGCTTGTTAACTACTTTCACTGAAAAGGCAAACTAAGTGTATAGTTTTGGTTCAGCCCTCAGACACTGGATCTTGTTATGCCATTATCTGCAGGATTAAAGGCAATGGTTAAGTTGTAGACTTTGCAGACTTCATCTTAGACTTTGTGGCAGGGCAAGCAGGAGGCACATTAGTCTTTGTCACCAGGTACCCTAAGGTGCAGGTAACTTCACCAGGAGGTGCTCCTCTCTAACAGCCTTTGCAACATCAAAAATCAAGGAGGTCCCAAAACACTGAAAACGAGGCCTAGTGCAGCTGCTGTGCTTACACCAAAGTGTTAGTGACTGAGGTGAAATGGAAAGAAAAAAGGAGACAGCTACTTTCCCTGAAAAGTGCTTGAAGGCGTGGAAAGGGCTGTTCCCCTGGGGTGATTTCGTGGGGTGGCTGTTCCTGCTACTGCAGGAATGGCTTGGGCTGGCATAGTGGGAACACAGTGGCATCTGGGTTCCTTCCCAGCAGTATAATGGGCAGAAAAAGCAGCTACCTGTTTAAAAAATAATGCTGCTACAACCTGGCAGAGAATTTTACACAGGTCTGCCATTAGTGACAAGGCAAGCTGTGTGCAGGAGGAGGGGGGCAGATCACAAAACACCCACTGCAGGTGTCTGCACTGGGAGGGGACCAGAGCTCTCCCCACCAGCATCGCTTCCCTTGTCCTCGGCACAAACCGCCACCACTCCTGGGCAGGGCAAGCTGCCTTCCAAGGTAACCTGAGCCTTTGCTTTCAGGAGGTTATGAGGGTCTCTTTTTGCCTGTGACCTCGGCAAGAAAGAGTTTCTTGAACTCCCCTGGTGATCTTGTTCTCTAGGAATATGCAGCAAATGGGATGAGATGTGGTGTGATGTCGCTCCCTAACTCCCTTGTTACTTGATTGGCACATGGAAATGATTAGCAAGTGAGAGGAGTTTATAAG